CAAAGCAGAGTGAGCAGGAGGAGAGAGCAGTTTGTGTCCTCCCTGTGGAGCCCGTCTCTTCCTCTGAGCCGGAGGTCTTAGGTTGTCTTCTTCTCTTCACCCACAGATGGTGGTGTCACATCCCTGACAAGTGTCTCGGAAGAAGAGGTGGTCTTGGCTGGTGTTAAAGTTAGAAACCAAACAGCCCACTGCATTGCCCTTAAAGCTGCTCTAATCACAACTTATTTTAATATTGGATCAGGTTACTGTGTGTAATGTGGTCGAGGGTATTCTCAGAGTCTGCAGTTCTCCTCAGCTAGTAGGAGTTGTAAATTATTGTGTTTAGCCTGTTATAGTTTTACAGCCCGTTACTTAACTGTTATGATTCATAGCGACCACTTTCATAGTATTGTTTTCAAATTCAGTGAGCAGCTCTTCTCAATGAAAAAGCTCTGAAAGCTCACTCCAGAGAGCGGCCAGACAAATCTATCTTAAAGAGACAGCTCATCCCAAATTCACTTTGCTAAAGCAGTAAAATAAATTCATAAAATTGTATTAGTTAATTGTACTGAATCTTTAAGAGCAGCAAAATACTAGATTTAACCTAAACTACTATATTACCATAACTTAAACCCAAGTAATATTTCTCATATCATTCTATCAATATTTCATCAATATCTTGCAGCTCCACTGCTCTGAAGTAAAAAACAAACTGAGAAAAAGTTGTGAGGCTCCAGAAAAGACTAAAAAAGACCAACTCAGATGCTCCAATTCAATTTTTCCTTTACTTTGAAGAGATCAGAGACCACATACTGTACACTACACTGTGTAATTGCAATTTCGTGGAACTACTAAAAATGGGGCACTGCGAATCTTCTCAAATCTTCAGCTGAAGCACCAACCTTCACATGCCCCATAAAGCCACATAAAATAGCCCACAGGTGTCGACAGAGCGGCGAGATGAATGACTCAGGAGCGCGCTCTGATTACCATCTGTCTTTCCATGATCATCACTGCCACCACGGGCTGACAAGGCGTTCTTTAAGAGACGATGTTTACTTTGTGCGGTCCCCAGACACACACACAGAATATGAATGTTACAACATGCATTATAGATCTGAGATCACAACTCCAGCAAACCCCAACTGTGATTAAAAAGAGGCTGTTTTGTTTTATCAGCCCTCTCCGCTTCCCTTATCAGCTCATTTGCATAATTAACAGTGGCTGACGCCGTCCTCGCGAGCAACTGCAACTGTGATTTCTCCTGCTTGGAATTCTGTCCTACTTCACAGTGTCACTGCAACCCCCTTTTTACCTGCTGAATGCAGTGGCAGGTGCACCGGGCTGCATTCAGGATTATTTCTTTATACGCCTTCAACACACACTGACTCTGCTAAAAACAGCTGCTGGCTACAGACTCCACAGTTCATATCTAGGCCCGTTTGTCTGACATCTTTTTGTTTTTCTCATTAATAACTGACTAATTAATAATAGATATTTTCTGCACAACAGTGGGCATAGAAAAACATTTCTTTTTGTAACATTGAGAACACACACACAGCAAGGTGCACTGCAGACCAGCGCCATCAGAATTCAATCATGTCACACAACTCAATATAAATCCTTGTGCACACTGCTTCATTCACCAAATCTTTTCGGCTGTCTTGCCTTTAACAGGGTGGCAGCCATGTGACCTATAGATCACCAGAGATAATGAGAATATAAACAATATTACCATCATCCTTTTTAAGTAAAATACCATCTACAAAATAGAAAAATTCCAATATTTTAACCACCTTTTCAGAATAATTCTTTAGCAAATACATTTTTCATTATAACCCATCAATGAGCAAAACAACTGAATATCTATTTTTCAATACAAAGCAACACCTTTTGTGTTCTTAAAACCTCATTTTTCAAATTAAATACATCATTTTCAAATCATTTCCATCTCTTCTCGTCCCGGACTCGACCACATTTTTACCTTGTCTTTTTTCAGTGTCAGAAAAAAAGGATTTAGGATTTTATTTCAAGACCGGTCAAGACAACAACTGCGAGGATATAACTAAATTGGCTGCGCAAAAATGGAGTGTTGAATAAAGATGGTTTAGCAGATTTCAGCTCCTTACTGTTTGTTTATATTTCTTAGCTCAAAGAAAACAAAGGACAATTCCCACACATGAAATTCACCTCCGCAGTGCCTTTTGATTATATTTTGGTACACTTACACTGTATACAAGGCGATCAAAGAGGTGAATAAAAAGGGATCTTTATTTGTTTTCTGTGGGCGTTTGTATGGCAATGTGCATCTTTCTGATCAATTTGAGGAGTGCCAACTGTGTGGTTTGCATGCTCCACATTTTATTGCAAGTGTGTCATTCAGTGTGGGACTCACACTAGTCTTGTCTTGGTCTCGATACACTCTGGTCTTGGCCATGACTTGGTCTCAGTTTAGGTTGTCTTCACTGCAACACTGCTTTATATTTATAAATAATCCCCTTTTTTTTATTTTACTATTAACTTTTTTATAGTTCAAGATATTTCAGTCTTTTTACTTTCACATCCTTGTGTTCATTATCTTCATCTGTAGCGTAGGGTTATATGGGGTCAGGGGTGTCAAGGATAGGCCATTTGACAATACTCCAGAAACTCTCTCTTTTTCACAGAGTAATATTGACAGGTATGAAAGAGTCAAAACTGTTCTATGGTTTTTGTTGTGTTAACAATAGTGATGTCAGTTTGATTTTGTCAAGTCAGGGCTATGGAATATAAAAATCAGCCATAATTTCTCTCTGCATCTTAGCCTTTCTTACCCTCAGGTGTGTGCATAGACTCCAGGTTCTTTTTAAATCACAAAAGGTAAATTATTGCTCATTGTATTGGCATCAACCATGAGAAGCAGGTAACTATCAGTTATTGGTCTTGGTTGAAAAAGATCCACATTGTGTGTCCCATTGATGTGTTAAGATGAAACACTTCCAAGTACTTAAACACATCATCAGTAAATTATCAGTTGTAAGCCTATCAGCATGCACTGACCTTCAGTATTTATACGTTTGAATCTATGGTAGTGGAGGCCGTTTGAAACCTCCATAGAAAAGAATGTCAAACAGCTTTACTCTTACATATAGTATGAATGGTAGTCACCCACATAATGCAGAGAGGAAACACTTCACAAACCAGTGGATCTTTAGAATCTAGAAGAAGATGTTTTTGCATTTTCATATACATTGTCTACTTTCATTCAACCACCAGAGTGCGGCCTCAGAAGCTAATTATGGAAGCTTAATTAGCAAGCTAGAGGCCAATATTATAGACCAAAATATATTTCAGCGATAAGGTATGTTGTTAGGTAGACTGTGTCCCAATTCGATACTGCATACTAATTCTACAGTATACTCTATATATTAGTTGTCATAACATACAGTTTAGCATGTATGCACAAAGAAAAGCAAATACCATTTTATACGAACAGGAAATGACAAACAACACTTTAAAAATTCACATATAGATGTCAAAATGTTTTTCCGAATATTTAAGACTTATTTGAATATTTTCTGACAGATGGATGGTTAAAGACCCTTCTCACAGTTAAAGTCCACCTACACAGGTGTTTTAACTTGTTACCTGATTCGACCTCTTTTCCAGACTGTGTTGGCGTGTACAGACTATGCTGGATTGACAGCTCCTTCAGTCTCTTGTTAGTTTTGTTACACATGTTGGAGTGGGACAGTTTATGGAGTTATTACTGTTAATAGTTCATAGAGTTTGGTGACGTGACCTGACAAGAGGTCTAATTAACCAGAGGAACTGGAAACACCTGTGTGCACAGCCTGTAAGTGCTCAATATCAAATGACAGAGGTGTGGACTCAAGTCATGTGACTCAAATCACAAATTTGATGTCCTTAGACTCGATTTGACAAAATCATAACAAACCTGAAACTCAAATTGATTTAAACAAATAATAGCCCGGGCTATTGTTTGAACAAATTAATACAAATTCAAAAAGCTTTCATGATTTTGTGAATGTCATTTTGGTAAAGAGCACATTATGACTTGTTTAGGACTTGAACCTCAAATTTTAGGACTTGGGACTTGCCTGTCTTGACAGAAGACTTGACTTGGGACTTGAGAACAACGAGTTGTAACTTGCAAAATGATAACTTGGTCTGTCAAATAAATGCTTAAAAAATATCCTTTATACATAAAAAAGCATCTATTCCTTTAACAAGCATGTGTAAGTGAGCAGTCACTTTACAGTATAGCATGTCAAAACGTTCATTTTTTTTTTTATCACTGCTGTACTTTTCATGTTATAACTTTTTAAACAGCACATTTGGCCTGTGTCCATATTCACATATCCCAGATTACATTTTGCTCATGAAGCATCTTTAAAGCACACAAATTGGAAATTATCCTCTTCAGCGGGCCTCGGCTGTGTTCTCCTGGCCTCGCTTTGATCAGAGATCATTTTAAGATGGCCTTTTTTTAATTGCAGCATCCTGAAGGAAAATCCAATTAGGAAATATTCCATTTCAGTTCTTTACCATTTTGATGTAATTAGTCAGCCGCAGTTTTAGCAGACTGCTTACATAGCAAAGCCTGAATAATACAGTGCACGACACAGAACATGTGTGTGCCTTTGTGTGTGTATGTGTGTGTGTGCGTGTGTGTGTGTGTCACATTTATTCTAGATGTAAATTTAAAGGGCATGTGAAGGTCAGCTGGTGTAATACAGTCGCCACGAACAGAGGCTGATTTTTACTCAAAGATTTTTTAGAAAAATGCTCCTGGGAAGGTGACTTGTGCTGCTGCCTGATGAGTAATCTGACTCTCCCTTTGTTTTTCCCCCTCTGCTTTAAAATGCTGTCCTTTGCTCTCTCTCCTCCTAACAACACACACACACACACACACACACACACACACACACACACACACACACTGTTCTCCCTGCATTGCGTGCTCTCCCTCTCTAATGTCTGCACTCCTCATCTATCTCTCTCTCTGTGTCTCTCTGCAGGCTCGCTGACTGTGTCCATCACCGACATGCGTGCTCCAGTGGTGGGGGGCTCCGGAGGGGTCTACGCTCTGTGCTCAGCGCATCTGGCCAACGTCGTCATGGTAACTGTCATCATCGTCACCTCCATTGTTGCGTCTGTAAGCGGTTTTCAGTGGAGACGAAATGTCAGAGCCGTCCGCATGGTGTGAGACGGACACCACACACTCCAGCCAGCTTCCAGGGCTGCACGCTCATGTGTTTAATGCTCTGCTTTGTTAAAATATATATTTTATAAGATAGATGTTTGTTGGGGCTTTTCGCTGCAACACTCGGATCACATCGATGTGATAGTTTTTATTGCCCAGCAGCTTTTGGAAAAGTGCCACTGAATATTCCATGTGACCTCTTTAGAGAAGCATTTTGAACTCGAGTAGCGTACCCGACCGTAACATGTTTTCACTGAGCTCGTCATCTGTATCAATGAATCGGAAGTGAACTGGTATTTCAGACATTAATTATTAAATCGGTGTTTATTTATGTCCACTGAAAAACAAACAAGCAGTGGATTCCCTTGATACAGTGATACAGTTTGTATGTGTTTCTGTCACAAGGTTTAAATGTGAAATGCCTTCTACATTCTCTTCAACTCTCGAGGCGGTGTTACATCTGACGAATCACTTTAACTAATGTTGCTGTTCACTGTGGGCAGCAGAGATGCCAGCAGGGATCAAAATCAAAGTGCACTGACGGGCCCAAAGCAAAGACATGTGTAACTGTAACTGTGTGCTTGTAGCAGCTAACAGACAGTTTATTTGGTCTGTTACGCTTGATGCCTTTGTTGCTGGGGAATCCTTTAATGCACGTCTTAGTTCTGCTCTGATGAGTTTTTTATTTTTTCTTCTAGTTTGTATTTTTGAGGGAAATCTTGAAAACCTCGTCCAGTCTCGACCCAGTAAATTCCCGGCCATCTGCCATCAAGCATCATCATCCGTTTCACTCAGCAGACATTTTCAGGTTCAGTGAAGTTTGGAGATGTGCTGCTGTGGACGTGACTCCCCAGAAGTCATGCAGCTCCTGCTAAATTGTCAGAATACATCTTGGAACCATGTAGCGTGCAAATCCAAGTCTTGACATTGCACCTATATCTTACATCTTGATGTTTTTAAAGATGCAGGATTTTCCTAAAAAAACAGTGTATAGACTCATACAGAAGTAATGCTTCTCATTCATCACTTATGACCCACTAGAGGTGTGTGGTTGTGTATTTTTTTTGCAGAGACCCTGCCCTCTGCCTGTGTTTTCTTATTTTCCTCTTGTTTTCTGTGCTCGGGACGTTTATGGGCATGTAACTCCACAGCACGCAAGAGAGTTAGCATTCTTAGCATCTCTTTACGTATTGAGTTTTTACATTTGTGTCCTCTGTGCTCTCTCTTTCAGTCTCTGAATGATCCCTTGCACCTCACACACATACGTCAGGTTACCTCAGCAATTCTCCGTTTCAGTGTCAGCAGCGTGATAACAAGACGTGTAACAGACAAAATTGATTGGCTGTCGTTTGCTTAAAGATCACCCTTCTTCTTGTGTGAGAGATGGAGGCGCATCAAAGCTAATTGCCTTCCATCGGAGAGCAGCAACACCACATCTCACCCAACTTGGACCTCTACAACACCACTGTGTTGACCTCTCCCCTCCATGATACTCATCATTTATTTGTGGAAATATCGTGACACTACATGCACTCGATTTTATTTATATCCTCCCCTGTCTTTAATTTTGGATGGCACTCAGTATTTCTTTTTCTACTGTGGGAGAAGAGGAGCAAAAACTCTCCCTGGGTCATTCCCACAGCTAAGAAGTTATGGAGGGACGTGATTGGTACAATTTTTCATCCCGGGGAGTAAATGTGTTATTCTAAAGTCGGGATGCCATTGTTCTCTTCCCCCTGGAGAATCACAATGGCTATTTATTGGCCCATTCTCCCCTTCTGTTAAATTATCTTAGCCCTAATTAATGGAGTGCCACCGGGCTGGAACCAGTAAGTGGAGAGCAGCCAGGTGTATAATCGCGTCTGTGCGTAATGTAAAGTGCTTCCTCCTCTCTCATATGGATATAGTTTGTCTCTCTTTCAGGTCCAGAGGAGACAAACAGAGTTGTGTCTTCCCAGGCTGTTATTACACTCATATATATGGTTGTTTGTGTCGTGATTGTTTGTGCTGACGGGACACTTTTGCTCTGTGTTGCAGAACTGGGCCGGGATGCGTTGTCCATACAAGCTGCTCCGCATGATCCTGGCACTAGTTTGCAGTAAGTTGTCCAGATTTACTCGGAAAGCCCTGCACTTCTGATCCTGCTGTTGCTATTTATATGTTGGATTTATAGTTCAGTCACTGAGTAGGGAGGGTGTGACCTTTCATTTTCAGCATATCTAATGTGTGCACACCTGTTCATAGTTCAACATGAAGTGTTTATCATCTGTTTCAAAAACCTCTCAGAGCCGAGCAACAGACATGCGGCTCCAGCTTTCTTTATTAATTGCTCAGAGTGAGAGGCTCCGTCATTGGACATGTTGCTTTGTTTTCGAAGCATTTCAGTCATACCACTTGTCCTTTTTCTCCACACGAGGGCCGATACACTGCGACTTTCATTAGTGAGCAATATGTTCCCTCCATCTGTCCCGAGCCTGCCGCCCCCGAGCTGAGAGAGCAGCGAGTCTCTGCTGGAATGTTTTATTTCTCCTCAGTGTTTTACAAACAGGGAATACAGCATTTCTAAATAAAATGTGACACATCGTTTGTGTGAGATACTGTGAAGACTGAATTTACATTTGCTCTGGTTTTACACTCAGTGTGGAGTATTTATTCTAAGGAGAGCAGCAACAAACAAACAAACAAACGGCAAATAACATTTGAAAGCAATTTTTTGGAAGATCCATTTAAATCCTCCTGTGACCTCCTGCTGCCTGCAGAAGTAGACTTTGATAAAAACGCTCACTACATTAGAATAACTCATCTTCAGGCATTGACACAAAGTCAACTCAGTCCTAGGCCCTGTTCTTTATACAAATTACTTAATTTTTTAGAAGGATGATGAAAATGATGTTTTTAATTTTGTGTAAGTGACTGGGAAAGCCAAGTAAAATCAACTAAAAGGTTCACATCAGAAAACATGGCATTTAACCAGGGCCATAATCACCTATTTAACCTTGGGGGGGACCATAGTCAGTTTTGGTATCCTCACAGCTGTGGACATGAGCTGATAATAAAAACATTCTGTCTTTCCTCTCTCTTCCATCGTCCGCAGTGAGTTCGGAGGTGGGCCGTGCAGTCTGGCTCCGCTTCTCACCGCCGCTGCCCTCCTCGGGGCCCCAGCCCAGCTTCATGGCACACCTGTCAGGAGCCGTGGTCGGCATCAGCATGGGGCTGCTGATTCTGCGCAGCTACGAGGAGAGTCTGCAGAAACAGTGCTCCTGGTGGGTCATCATCTTCTCCTTCATCACCTTCCTCCTCTTCGCCATCTTCTGGAACATCTTTGCATATGAGCTGCTGGGAGTGCAGATACCGCCTCCTCCCTGATGAAGGCCCCCCTTGCCCACAGGCCCTCCTCCACATACATACTGACTCCAGCCCTGCTCCAAACAAAGGCTCCCCTTTGACCATAGTTAACTTTCCCATCATCTCTCAAGTTAGTCCCAAATGAAATGATATGAAATCATTCGAAACGAAAAAATCGACCAAGAATCCTTTTTTACAGATACTTTGCAAATCAAAGAAATATGTCTCTTTTATTAAAGAGGGATTACAGTAGCAACAAGTACAGGTGAAAGTTCCTCAGATGCATTTTGAGGAGCCTTTTATCTTTTTATATATACGTTGAAGTCTCATCCACATTACCAGCACTAACCTTTGAGTGAGCATTTAGCCGCCGGGCTCTTCATTTCAGAGGCCTATTGAAAAGCTGTTTCATCGGTTGTTTCTTTGAGTGCATTTTTCATACATGTAAAGAAGAACCTGAGTTGATGACACGTGCCTGTGGTGAAGAAGAAGGGGAATTAAAGGGTGCGGTAGGAGCGGGCTGTGGCGGTGACAATGCTGAAAAAACGCCATGAGAAATTTTCTTTCATGATGTGCAGAGATCAGGATCAGCTGCAGAGATGTCCCTTAAACTAATAGGGTTTTGCTTTAAGTCACTTAAACAAAGTAGATGCTTGAATCTGAGTCCGTTTAGCTGCTTTAAATGGAGATTTAAAGAAGAATTACAGGAAGAGAGTGTTTAAGTCTGGGGGCAGCAATAAAAAAAAATACAGAAGCACCAATTAAATATGATTGCTGGTAAGGTTGTTTTATTTCACAGCCCTGCTGTAACTCACAGGGGTCACTCTGGCTTTTTGCAAAAGTGCTGACACACTGATTGAAAAACAAAAAGCAGCTACACACGTTTCCTTCAAATTGAGCTGCTGAGAAGAAGCTCCAACCCGATTATAAGGCATCAGTCAAAATTCTTTATCCCTGAGTCCAAATGGTTTTCCCAGAGCAGTCACAGGAAGAATGGAGGAGAAGGAGTACCTTAATTTTCATCAGTCATTTTCACTTCATGGGGTCTTAAAAAATTAGAAGACATGCGTTTTTTTTAATGGTTTTTTCCATGACACGATACCTACACTGTGGATACAGAAACATATTTCACACAACATAGACAAGACATGAAGATGGGAAATGAAAGTGTGACAGGAGAGGAAAGAAAGAGAAAAAGAAGCTCGTGAGAAAATAACAAGCTGAAGTTTCCTGGATCACTTAAACGAGTGAACTCCTCCTGTTGCTGTGTCAAACTATCCACCGACTTGTTAGGCGCACCGTGTAAAATATGCCATGTCATGCTCTGTGGCTCTCAGCGAGACAAGGACACACACACACGTACACTCACAAACACACACACACCTCTCCTCTTTGTCTGAGAGAGCAGCCACTGCCTGAATCTGTAGGTCAACGTGGACAAACTGAAGAGAAGAATACACACACACACACACATACACACTGGCCTCTGCCTGTTCTCGCTCTGACAGACTGAACTGGGGAGGGCGCGGATGTGTCATCACCTGACCTCTGACCTTCGTGTCCCAGAGGGCATTGGGGTCTCTCTGTCAGGCCCAGTCTATACCTCAGTTTCTCATTCTTAGGGACTGTATACTTTTGTAAAGGAATGTACCTATAAAGAAAAAAAAGAGTGTTATTAAGTTGTCCCCGTTTTTCATTTGATAGTGGATGTGTATATTGTATGTTCATAACCAAGAGTATATTTATTTGTATTTTTTTTTTCCCTCTTTGAGGGGGAAAAGAGAAAAGTTTCAAATGGTGCAAAATTAATGCTATGATTGTTGTTCTTCTGATAACTCCTGTATGGCTTTGAAAAATAGTCTATGAGGCAGAATCCCCTGGTTTGTTAGATGACCACCGACGACTCAAGCTCACTTGATTTTATAAATCTTAGTGCTTTACAAAATAAGCCATAGAAAGAACTAACTGGAGAGGGTAAAAGCAGAGGAGAAAAAAACATGTTTGATGGTTTGAAACCTGCTGGTTGGTAGCTTCATTGAAACTTTTTTTTTCTGTGTGAACATAATTTATTCATTGTGAATATTCAACAGGTGAGGTGAAAGAAGACAAACTGTGCAAGTACGAGCCTGTGAACCTCTGGACTGTTGGATATATCATCATGTAGCGGGACACATTTTTACAACTTGTTTCGCCAACTTGTTTGTAGTCAATGCAGCTTAATTTTTTTTCAAGTGCCCACGTCTTCAAACTCTCCCCGGCTCTTCTTTTTTGCAAAATAACAAAGTATGGACAGCGCTCCTGTCGTATATTATCTCCAGAGTGATTCAAGCTTTTTGGAAAGCTGAGGCGAGGATAGCAATTACATTTACTCATGCTACGTTCCATTTTTCAGTCTTTCAATCAATAATTCATTTGAATGTCCACTGGCTGCCTGGGGAAAAAATGTTATGCATTTGCCAATTTTGATAGTTGGCTATAAATACAGTCTTCAGCATTCGCTTCCACGTGAAACTGTCAGTAGTAACAGAAGACTCAGTGTTAAATGAGGAAATCTGTATGAAATAGCCAGAAAAAGCCATTTTCAGATGCATTAAAAAAAGAAAAGATCAGCCAATACGTGGTAGTAATGGATCTTTGATGGAAACTTGTGTATACTAGGGAATATTATTGCTTGGGATAGCAAAGATACATCGATGAATAATGCATACATACCCTGTTAGCCTATAATGAAGATAAAGAGGATGCCTGATAGGAGGTTAATGTGCCTCTTTAACTGAAGATTCATAGGAACCCAGAAGGGTTGTAAAAAGGGCTAGTAAATGGCTATGTTTTTGTAGAACACATTAACTGTGAATATTACCCCTCCTGGAAGAACATGCAGGACTAAAATCGAAGGCTTGTGAATTCTTGTTGCCCCTGAAAAGATACTCTTCTCCTCATGCAAAGTGAAATGATCAGTGTTTATTTTTTTAAAGGTTCAGTGTGTGGGATTTAGGGAGATATAGTGACATCTAGTGGTGAGGGTTGCAGATTGCAGCCAGCTGAAACTGCTTCTGGTTAGAATTCCTTCAGTGTTTATTGTTCAGGAGGTTTTCTGTGATAACTTTATGTGTGCTCACCTTATTTCTGATTCAGATGTTCAGGAGGTTTTTACTAGTAGCTAAATTATCTGCAGAGGTCTCTTCCTCTACAATACAACCTGACTCGCTGATTGAACGCAGTAAAAACACTTAATGAAGCGGTTTCTTGTTACAGTAAGTGTTTCTCTGGCACTGTTTGGCATGTTGGAGATGGCTGCTGGCCCAGCACCTGCCTATGTGTGCTCACATTTTGTCTCTGATTACTTAAGATCCAGATGTTCAAAAACTTTCTACCAGCAGCCAAATTATCCACAGAGGTGTCCTCTTATCCAAAACAAACAGATCCAAAGACCCCAAACAGATTTAAACTTGTAAAAACACTGAATAAAGCAGTGTTTTTCTGACGCTCTCCTAACGTAGGGGCTGTTAATGTGGTTTGTCCATTCTGGGCTACTGTAGAAACATGGCAGTGCAACATGGCAGCTCCCTTTGTAGATATTAACGGCTCATTCTTAGGTAACAAAAACACAACGATTCTTATTTTTAGGTGATTATTAAGTAAAGAAAACATACTTATTATATGTCATTTCTACCAATGTATCCCCCTAAATCCTACACACTGGACCTTTAACTTATTAAGTATCTCCTGGATAAAAGCAGACAATGGCATCATCAACACAAGAGAAAATGATCAGTGCATGTATCTTTAACGACGAGGTGGAAGCGGAAAGTTTTCAGAAGTAGTTTATTTACTTCTTCATAAGCCAAATCTCCTGAGCCTGAGCCAGCCACAGCACCAACACCCCTTCTAAAAAAAGGCAGTCACCTCCTGTCTGATAAAAGCCGCCTCCTGCTCTCAGACAGCATCTTAAAGGAGACGAGCGATCGAGGCCTGACTCGCATCCTCTGGCTTGACAGTATGTGACGGCTTTTTGGTTTGTGAGGGATGGCGGGACAGCAGAAACAGCAGAAACAACAGTGTCGGCACTCTTCATAAAAACCTCAGCAGCGTACGTGCTCTCCCATCCCGTCGTGCTCGTGTCACAACACCCCCGGTGTCAGGATGATGCATGGCTGTTATGGGGGATACACCAGAGAGCTCAAAGCTAGAACCGTAAACAGGATATCTTCCTTTAATAAGTGGATCTGACAGGCTGCATGATGTTAATTTAATTGCTGTCTTTTGAGTGACACATTTGTTTTCAACAGTATAAGGAAGGCACGGTGAGGGATGGCATGAGCTGAATAGGAGCAGACTATCAATAACATGTGATCCATCATCTTTGGGTAATCCACAGTCTCCCCCCTACTTGATTGGTTTCAGTCACGACTGCGGTACAAGATGATGTTAAAAGGTCAGTGCCAACTTGTTTGAGTCTCATTCATACTTTGCTGGTGTGGCTACACACAAAATACTGTTCATTTCTGTGCTCGTCTGATTCAAAAATGCAGCATACTTGACATTTCTCTGCTGTTTCTTGTTTCTTCTTCCTGTACTTTCTCATCTGTGGGCATTTTTTTATTTGCACTTATTACTGACGTGTTGGCATGTGCCATATTCTCTACTGCCATTAACATTCTTAGATGCTTTTTTACCTCCCTATGCCAATCCATTGTGCTGTTATGCCCAATGCCTTGTTATACGCGCCCAAGACTAAGCACCGGGCGGAAAGGCTGCTTTGCTGTCAGCTGTTATTCAACATGATCATGCACAGAATCCATAAGAGAAGGAAGCCGCAGTGCAAACAATTGAAGCTGTTAATATATCCAGTAGCTGCTCTGAAGTGCTGCTCGCCAACAAGCCGGCCAGGTTGCCTTTTCTTAGTGTTTATTGCTACTTAGACAAATATAGGTAACTCTCACTGCAGGGCTGTGCAGGTAACGCAGGACACTGTAGCTCCAGAGATGGCATTGTACTTTCAACAACAGTGCATACATTTACACTATTGGTGTAAATTTATGTATGTAAATGTGTCAAGGTGTTGAAACCTGAAATGCTGGTTAACAGACATTTGGCTTTAGCTCTCAATGAACCTGGATATGTTATAATGTGTAAAACAGGGTCAGATTTTATATTAAAGGTGCAGTGTGTAGGATTTAGAGGGATCTATTGTCAGGAAATGGATATAACAGCACAGTGGTTCAGTGGTAAGCTTTGTTGCCTCACAGCAAGAGGGTTCCTGGTTCAAACCCAGGGTGGGAGGTTCAAACCTTGGGGTGGGGGAGCCCTTCTATGTGGAGTTTGCAAGTTCTCCCTGTGTCAGCATGGTTTTTATCTGGGTACTCCGGCTTCCTCCCAGAGTCTAAAGACATGCAGGTTAGGTTAACTGGCTAAAAGCTAAATTGCCTGTAGGTGTGAATGTGAACGTGAATGGTTGTCTGTCTCCATATGTTAGCCCTGCAATAGTCTGGCGACCTGTCCAGGGTGTACGCCGCCTCTTGCCCAATGTCAGCTGGGATAAGCTCCAGCGACCCCTGACAGGATAAGTGGTTACAGAAAGTGAATTTACCAGCCACAACAGTGTGGCAAAATCATTGTGGTGACACCTACTGTAGCAGGAACTACCACAGAAGACGTTTATTAAAACTGATTCTGTGTATGTATACGGAATCAGTATGCAACCGAACAATTTTGGTATCAGAAATGTTGTGGTCAGGTTTGAATTGCAAGTTAACAGTCCATGTGGAGAGGCAGAATGCATTGGCCAAAATGTAACCTCAGAACCCATCAGCTATGTCTGACGATGAGTTAGCTTTATACTAGCTTTTTTAAATGAATGCAGATATCTGTTTATAGAGATTAGCCAAAATGACTGGCACATGGAAGAGGAAATCTTGGCTGGGATGTCTTCGGGCTGCTTCTACTGGCCTGAAATATTGACCCTCATCACAGCAGTAGGGGTATGAAACGATTGCCCCCCACGTGCACATGCACAGATTTTGCTGTGCCATGCTGAATTCACTGTGTTGGAGTACTAGTGATTGCCGCCTACCTGTCCGATTGATTAGCGGGCATCAAAGAAGAGCAAAGAAGACAACATGGAGGAGCTGGTAATGTTGGTGTTTGAATACCCGGAGCTATGGCGCCAACAACTTGTTAGGACAACCAGGGATAACCTGGGATAACATTTCCACCAAACTTCAGATGACTGGTAAATTGTCTAGTTACGCAGCGATGTCCGTTGTCTTGCTACAGTATGCAGCGACAAGCTAGCCTGCACTTCTGCTAGTGTTCGACGAAGCCATAGCGGCAGCAGCTGCTTTTAGAAAACTTTGCTTTTAGGGGGAACACTCTTGGTCAGAGCGTGGTGGTGTGAAAGCAGCTTTGTCATTGTCAGACTGATGGCTGATGGGTTCAAAATTTTGTCACCATAATAGCATCACAATTGCATTCACATTCAGATGCAGTCGCAAATCTTTAAAGGTATATAGTTGAATTCACAATGAAGGCCGAGTTTGAAGATGGGTGTGGTCTGAGCAAGGGAGCCAGAAGTCTGTAGGTAGGAATACGGGAGCGGCCCTTGAACCCTATGGAGTAACTTAAAGGCAAGATGGTCTCTAGTCATAGCTATAATTTTCATTAGCGTATAATTGCCTGAAACTAAGAATCGTGTTTTCGTTAGCTTAAAATGAACCATTTATTTCTACATAGGAAGTGGGTCCTCTTCAATGGAGACCGCCATGTTGCACCGCCATGTTTCTACAGTAGCCCAGAAAGGATAAACCAAACACTGGCTCCAGAGAAGGCCATGCACATTTTTACATTACCTGAAGGCAAACCTAAGTTGTATTTCAGAGTGGAAGGCTATTGCATTGGTTGCAACCTCTTGGCAAGATGCAACTAAATTTTACACACTGCACCTTTAATTAGCCGGTAAAATTAAACAACATAAACTAAATGGGACAGTGCAGACTCAACATGCAGCTGTGAATCCAATGCTTGTAGATTGTGTCAGTTCAACAGAGATCCATTATGCTAAAAATGTAAAGTCTACAGTCTGAGTCAATCAGGAACAGATTAGTAATCACTGCAGCTAGAAGCAAGCATGAAGTCTGTAACAGCATTCAGGGTTTCCTTCTGGAGACGAGGGTGTATTTTCTGGTTGTAACGGAGAACATCGCTGACATCCTGGTTTCCCAGTTTCTAAATACACAAAAACTGCCTGAGCCACTCGAGGTCATGCAAATATCAGCAGGTGGTTTCTTGAAATGAGAGTTGTTTCCCTCTGAAGGTTAAGAGTTTAAAAAGAAAAAAGTCATATCTGTGCTGCTGTGGTAGTTTTTCATGAGCTGCTTACTTGTATTGAAAAAAAAAAATGGTGCCAAGCTTACGAGGTTCAGTCTCTCAGACCAGACAAGAGGTCGAACCGACACAGCGTTTACAAAAAGAAAAAGCAGAAGAAGCTATTTTTCTCTCGGTCATGAGGAAACTAAAGGAAAAACTAAATTTACATATGGATAATTTATATCAAAGTCCTCATTAATTATTTCACAATCTATTGTACTTTTTAAATGTTCTGAACGGAACCATTTTATATTGTATATATATGAATATATTTTGTTTTATTTTGTACTGTTCATTGTACTTTGCTTTAATTTAGAAACAATATAAATAAAGAACAATACTGTGGCAACATCCTACTGCTTTTTTTTCCAAGTGTGTTTAAGCAAATCATTATTATTGATCTGCAATTTATTGATTAGTGATATTTAAGGTGTTTTTAAGCAGAAACTCACCAGTTTCAGCTCCTTGGATGTATTTTCAGTCCTCTGTTATCAAAAACTTCTTGTATTTTTGTAGTATTGGTCAGAAAAAAATACATACTTGAAGATATGACCATGGGCTCTGAGTGTGATGGGCATTTTTTCAATGTTTGCAGACATTTTATACACCATGATTTGATATAAAGGCTTTATTATTCTGGGAAAATACAAAAAACAG